AAGTGTACCTAGGAGGAGCCGATTTATCTACAGTGAGCAGTTATGTACAGTGATTTATCTACAGTTATCTACAGTGAGACTTGCCTTAGGCCAGAATCCAACAGCGACAACTAAATAAACTATGCTTCCCGCAACTTGTTTGTTTTGTTTGTTTATTCATTCATTTTTATTTCGTTGTAAACACAGTTGCACAGTGGCAGGGGCCAATATAAAAGCTGCTATAAGCAGCTTAACAACCTCATGCATGTAGCCACCGGTCTCTTCCCCCCTGCAGTGATGGACTAGCAGACATACGATCGTAAGAACATTTCCTGTCTAGCCTTGTGCATTACCCGAGAGTTCGTATATTGTCATACAAATGAAACTGATCCTTCCAATACATCATCATCATCATTATTATTATTTATTATTATTACATGCAGCAGCAGTTGGCGGATATAACAGAGGTGAGACCGTTGGGTATTATGTATATATTGTGTGAAACAATTACACAACAGTTATTGGCACAGCAATCCCAACCTTGAGCTTCGCCTTCAAGAGTAGACCGTGATAGCGTAACCGAGAGCTTAGCGTCGGTGTCGGTGTATGCCTCAAACATGCCGTGAGATAACAAAAGACTGTGTGTGTGACATAGGGCTTTTAAAACTATTGTAGAATGTCTATCGAAAGTACAACTGTTAGTACCAAATACGCCAATTCTTAAGGGCCTTTTACGAGTGCGTAAGTCCCCACACAAACATGTTTGACTGCTCTGTAATAGTGGGGCCTTTAAGCTTTGTGCATTTAACATATTATTGCCTCGCGCAATTCTGCGCTTCTGCCGCTTATTACTCGTGCGCTGAAGAGATTCCTTCTACTACATGAATGAAAGAATTGTAAATATGATGCCTCCCTTTTTTCGGTTAGACACAATATCAATGAAAACTTGTACTACATAGCATTCATATTTTTGTTGTTGTTTTGTTTGAATCAGATTCGACCATTGGCTCGCCTCTGTGGTTGAACACTTGATTGCCACGCAGAGAGCCTCAGTTTGATTCGTACTCGTATTGAAGTTCTTTTTTATTTATTTTATTGGCAGGCTTTATATTTTTTTTGTCACGGACAAGATAATGTTTTCTTGCTCACAACCAGAGATGCCGGCATAGCAATATCTGCAAAAGGAGCTCTTTACCGCTACCTCGCTCAAACAATATGCAGTGCATAAATATCAGAAAGAAATATAAGTATAGGTGAAGAGGCAGTCCTTCATCCAACAATATAATTTGAGGGCATGATCAAGGCACACACTAAAAGGTAGTTGAAATGGGTACTGTTTTTTTCAAAAACTTCTTTTTTTTGTAACTAGGAGAAAACATGAACACTGTTTTTCTGGAGCATTTTTGTATTGTCAACTTGTTTCAGGCTTCTACAGACGTTTTGCGCTGTTTTTGTCCAGGCAAGACAGCACTGGTTAAAATGGTAACGGTCTTCATAAAAATTACGCTCTAAATGCTCATTCAAGTAGAACCTCCTGTACCCTGATGTTAGCCGTGCATACAGCCCAAATATAAGCAGGCTATCACTTCTCAACCAACTTGCAGTGGGCAACGCATATAGGCCAATCTATACAGGCAACCTCATGTGTATCCACAAAAGCAGCCCGCAAATGCGACACAAGAATGTCGACTGGGAGCACGTTGAATTGTTAGTTTTTCTCACCCCATGACATTATATGATACAAGCCATCAATAACATCAAGGAATGCAACATAAAGGCGGCGAAGATGACAAAAGCTTGTGTTGTGGTTGCCACTCCGCCATCTTGGTTCAAGGACACTGAGTACTCCGTGTACAATCTGTAAATACATTTCTACCCTGTGCCTACTCTCACCCTGTTACATTTTGGTGGTGGTGCGGGGTAACAAGACGAACCTATGCAGCGGTCGACGCTTTGTTTTTTACAAGATGGCACAAGAGGGTCCAGCTCCAGCTCCCGCAGTGGCCACCGCAACGATGACAGTTGTTCTGCCTCAGATGAAAGACCCTGGCACGTTTTGCGGGACCTACAATGTTGACATTGAAGAATGGTTGCAGCTGTACGAACGATCAAGCAGGAATTATCACTGGGACGAAACGCTCAAGCTGGCGAACATCCTATTTTACCTGAAGGGGAACGCCAAAGTGTGGTTTGAGAACCACGAAGCGGAAATTGGCAGCTGGGATGCGTGCATTGTTCGGCAAATTGACTGGCAGGAAGACAGCGGTCAAGAAGGAGCTGGCATCTCGCGCTCAAACGTCATCGGAGTCGTACCTGTCTTACATACAGGACGTGCTCGCCCTTTGCCGCAAAGCAGATGACTGCATGGAGGAGTCCGAGAAGGTATGACACATATTAAAAGGCATTGCCGATGACGTGTTCGATTTGCTGATTTGCAAGGACTGTGACACAGTAGATGCCATTATCCGAGAGTGCCAGCGTTTCAAGGTCGCCAAGAGCCGACGTATTTTCCATCAGTTCGCTTGACTTCCCAACACCGCAGCAACATGATCGTGCGAAGACATGCCTGTACCCCAGGAACCACTGACTGCAGAGCACGTCACGAAGATCATCCGTCGAGAACTTGAAGCTATGTCTCCCGCTTCAACTTTCTCTCGTGCCTGTGAGTCCATCTCCCAAATGGTGCGTATAGTGCGTGCCATCGTTCGCCAAGAGCCTTCGAACGTTGATTTGGAATCTGTGTGCACCACCGCCCTCTCCCGACCGACTGACCGTCGTCCACCAGTTTTCTACACCCAAGGCCAGAGGCTCCCAGCGCGCTCTCGCGATCCCGCTGAGTGGAGGACTGCTGATGACCGGCCCATTTGCTTTAACTGGCGTCGTATTGGTCACGTGGCGCGCTATGGCAATAGCAGGTTCTGTTGGTGTCAGCCTTTTTATGGCTACAACCATCGCGCAGAGGCAGATGATGGCCACTTTGAAACTCGCCAGAAGTCGCCTTGGCCAGCCCGTGGTGACGGTTCCTCGACGGTGCATTGTCGATCACCCCCTCTCGTCCACCAGTCCTGCTCAGCGCTGTCTCGTCGCCCATCGTCGCGCTCACCCCAATTTCGTTGTCCTCCTTTGCCGACTGCACATGTGGCTCGGGAAAACTTGACGACGTAGCTCCTAGAGGTGATGCTGCATTGATGATTCGCCAGCCAAATCCTCTGACTATGCCGACACGACGCAACCTCATAGACGTTAAAGTAGACGATGCACTTGTTGTTGCCCTTGTAGACACAGGGTCCCACATTTCGGTGATGATTTCGTAGCTTGGCCGCCACCATAAAAAGGTTTTAATACCGCCCACAGTGCCACTCATCCAAGTCCCTGACGGTAGAACTTTTCCTGTGCTTGGAATGTGCTCCGCACGTGTTAGTGTCGCTGACTGCTCCGCACGTGTTAGTGTTGCTGACTGCTCCACAACTGTGATTTTTGCCGTGCTCTAAAAGTGCTCTCATGAACTCATCCTGGGCATGGACTTTCTTGCCACGCACTCTGCCTCGATTGACTGTAGAATAGGCTTGCTTCAGCTTGACCTACCTTATTGCTATGACACTCCAACTACACCTCAACCACGTTTGTGTTCTGTCGAGTAAGTTCGCCTAGCGCCTCAAGCCATTACTTAAGTAACCATGAGGTCTTTTCCTCCAGTACCCGACGGCGATTATGTGCTGGCACCAATTTTGGGGGTGTTATTAGACAGAAATGTTGCTTTTCCTTATACTCTGTTGACGATTACGAATAATGTGGCGTCGCTACCAATACTGAACTTCAGCTGGTGCACTCAAGTTGTTCCAGATGGCGTGACCCTAGCCAACGTCTCTTCCATCAGTGAACATTCTGTTTCTGCATTCATTGCAGACGCTCCTTTGCCCGCTACTGCATCCTCTTCACAGAGCTCCACTGATGCCGATTTTGACAATATGATCGCGCCAGACCTTGTTCCAGCACAGGCAGCCGATCTCCGGCATATCTTGGCATCCTTCAGGGACATCTTCGACTTCGGCGACAGCCCTTTAGGTCAGACGTCGGTTGTTACTCACAGGATCAACACTGGAGATGCCAGCCCAATCCGACGACATCCTTATAGCGTGTCACATGCAGAGTGACAAGTCATCCAACGTGAATTTGTTGAAATGCTCACAAAAGACGTCATTGAACTATCTTGTAGTCCATGGGCCTCACCAGTTGTTCTAGTAAAAAAAGAAGGATGGCAGCTGGCGCTTCTGCGTTGGCTACCGTCACGTATACAAGGTCACACGCAAGGACGTCTACCCACTGCCACGGATTGACGATGCCCTCGACTGCCTGCTCAGGTCTACCTACTTCTCCTCTATTGACCGGCGTTCAGGATACTGGCAGATTTCCGTCGACAAATGAGACCGTGAAAAGACTGCATTTGTTACGCCGGATGGACTTTTTCAGTTTAAGGTAATGCCCTTTGACTTATGCAATGCTCCCGCTACATTTGAGAATGATGGACTTCCTGCTACGGGGTTACAAATGGTCAACGTGCTTCTGTTATCTCGATGACGTCATTGTATTCTCGCCGTCATTGAAAAGTCACCTTAGCCATCTGTCAGCTGTTCTGGAAGTTTTCAGAAGGGCAGGCCTATAGCGCAACTCTTCCAAATGCCGTTTCGGCCGCCAAACAATCACTGTGCTAGACCATCTTGTCAGTGCTAAAGGCGTGCAACCCGATCCCGACAGAATGTGCGTCGTCAAAGATTTCCCCACACCACGTTCCACGAAAGATGTGTGGCGAAACGGTTCAGGCACCGCTTCTACGCCTGCGCGTCGCGGCAAAGACTTCAATCACGGGCACCGGCGATAAGAACACTCTCGCCAGAAAGAAGCAAGAAGACTGTGTGTGTGCCCCGATTGCGGGGCAGTTGTAGTAGAACCTTTAGTGCGGAAACATTAAAGTTATCTTATCCCACATCTGGTGACCCGGAAAACGAACGTACCGCACCGCCATGGCCCACGAAGAAACCTTTGCTGCCCTTCAACAACAAGTACAAAAACTGCAACAACAACTGCAGGCCCAGCAGCAAGTGATCCAGAACCAAGAGCAGCAGCTCCGGAAACAGCAGCAGCGCAATGAAAATGAAGCGCTCTCGTCCGACGACAGTGCGCCGCCCTACCTGGGCCATGCCCCCCAAAACTTCGCTCCAGCAGTCCCTGCCATCTCGGGCGCCTCCATTGCTGCGGCCACCACCGACAAAGATGTCTGTCGCGTCGCCGTCAAACTTCCACCGTTTCGGACAGAGGCGCCTGACGTGCAGTTCGCTCAAGTCGAGGCGCAGTTTTCCACGGTACACATCACCCAGAACCGGACGCGCTAAGACTACGTCGTCCCCCATTTAGACTCTCGCTATGCAACTGAGGTTCGCGATATACTTACAAATCCCCCGGCTGATGACCGTTACCTACACCTGAAGAAAGAACTGACCCACCGGCTTTCACCTTCACAAGACGAAAAGGTGCGTCAGCTACTCCAGCACGAAGAACTTGGTGACCACAAGCCATCGCAGCTCCTGCGTTACATGCGTGACCAATCTTCTGGCGTACTATCATCTTCTACCTGACTGCCGATATGACCGACTTATCGACGCTAAAACAGGTCTCTGCACACCCCGGTCGACGAGTCCCTCCTCTATAACATCTGGCTTCAGCATATACCCTCACATGCGCAGGCCATCCTTCAGGTGCAGCCGAATCTGCCGCTGAACCAGCTCTCTCACATCGCCGATCAAGTTGTCGAGATTCCGTTGCCAGCATCGCCTCTCACCGTCAACGTCGTTGACACTTGACAGTCCAGCGGCGAGCTCACGCGCCGTGTAGACGAAATCACCCGTCAGCTGGACTCAATTCAAAGGTGCCTGGATCAAATATCAATGCTGCGTCCACAAAATTGCTCCAAAAGCCAAGACAACAACGCGGTTTCATCGCACGGAAATGATAACGGCCCCTGCTACTACCATTGCCGCTTCGGGGACAAAGCCCGGAAATGTCAACCACCTTGCTCACCAGGACGTCCGGGAAACTTCAACGGCAGCCCATAGAGATGACCGCGAGCTGCCAACTTAGAGGTCCTTGCATATTTGTCACCGACCAAGTCACAAAGTGGCGGTTGGTCGTCGACTGTGGCTCCGACATCTGTTGCTTTCCCCGAACCTTCCTGCGTGACAAGCGTCCTTGCACGTTCTTTGAGCTCAGCGCGGCGAACCATTCGACCATCAAGACCTACGGCTCGCCCCGCCTTAACATCAACTTCAAAAACATGTGTCGACATTTTTCATTGAATTTCGTCATCGCCAACGTCGCAGAGCCGATCATCGGGTCCGACTTTTTGGCGTACTACAATCTTCTACCTGACTGCTGATATGACTGACTTATCGACGCTAAAACAGGCCTCTCCACTCCGGGCCAACCTGACTCGACCTAGCGGGCGTGTGCGAGAGGTGCGCCACTTAACCATGCACTACATTCGTACTACTGCCGGCCACTCGGTCTCATGCCACGCCCGTCGGCTAGCCCCGGACCGCCGGCCACTCAGTCTCATGCCACGTCCGTCGGCTAGCCCCGGACCGCCTACGAATCGCACAGGCCGAAAATAAGCCAAGCTCCGCGAAGGTACTGCCCGCCGCTCGGAGGGATCTTACGCCTCACCGCTTCATTTGGTACCAAAGAAGACCAATGGCTGGCGCCCCTGTGGAGATTATTGTGCCCTCAACGCCCGCACCGTCCCCGATAAGTACCCCGTCCATCATATACAGGACTTTGCTCACCGCTTAGATGGCAGCACTATCTTCTCAGTGGTGGACTTTGTAAAGGCCTACACACAAATTCCTGTAATCCTGCATTACGTCCCAAATACCGCAATTATCACGTTTTTCGGCCTATTCGAATTACCTTTCATGAGTTTTGGTCTTCACAACGCAGGGCAAACCTTTTAATGCTTTATCGACGACGACGTCTGCAGCCTGGACTTCTGTTTCGTCTACCTAGACGACATCTTGATCTTCTCCCGCAACGGAAGAGAACATCGCCAACACCTTCGTCAACTGTTCAAGCGTCTCAATGAACACGGCTTACTCATAAACGTTCAGAAGAGCACGCTCGGCGCCCCTGTCGTCACGTTTCTTGGCCATGAAATCTTTTCAGAAGGAACTAGACCCTTGCCTGACCGCGTCCTGGCCCTTCAAAATTACGGGCTGCCTGCCACAGCGAAAAGCCTCCGCCGTTTCCTGGGCAAGAGACGTTGGTTGGGTTCAACTTTTACAGGCGCTTCGTGCCTAAAGCGGCCACATATCAGGCCCCTCTCCATGATGCGTTGGCCGGCCAACGCGGCAACCATCCTGTCACTTGGACCCCAGCCTTAACGCAAGCGTTTGAACACTGCAAACCTGCCCTGCGCAACGCTACACTGCTCTCCGTTCCCAAGCCAGAGGCGCCCCTGGGTCTTTTCACAGATGCCTCTAGCAAAGCCGTCGGAGCCTCTCTCATGCAGCGTGTGGGCAACAACTGGCGCCCCTTGGCGTTCTTCTCGAAGAAACTCTGTTCCCCGAAGCCGCCCCCGCCTTCCATCAGCATCAGCGATGCAACCTCGCCCCCTGCAGGGACGACCTGGCCAGCCTACTACAAAAAGCTCCTTGCCATCTACGAAGCATTCCAACGCTTTCGCCATATGGTAGCGGCACATCACTGCACCATATACACCGACCATAAACCTATCACTTACGCCTTCTCCCAACGCCGTAAAAAACTGCCACCGGTCCAGAAAAACCAGCTGTCCTTCATCACTCAATTCACCACAGATATCAACCACATCAGCAGAAAGGAAAACATGGTCGCCGACGTACTCTGTCGCGTCTCGGCTGTCGAGCTACCAACTGTGACAACTGAGGCCCTCACCAAAGCTCAGAAAACAGACACCGAACTCCAGCAGCTCCTCGAGAAGGGCTCTTACCTTCACCTGCAAAAAGTTACCATCACTGGGTCAACGAACGCTCTCTACTGTGACATATCAACAGGATGAATGAGACCATACGTCCCTTCTTTGCATCGTCAAAGCCTCTTCAACCAGTTACACAACCTCAGTCATCCCGGTATCCAAGCTTCTACACGCCTCGTGTCTGACCGGTACGCGTGGCCCTCAACGCAACTAGACTGCCGCACCTGGGTACGCACATGCATTCAATGCCAGCGCGCCAAAACCACCCGGCATGTCACGTCGCTACTCGTATAATTCCCCCTCCCCCGAAGGAACTGTTCCAGCACGTCCACATTGATTATCATTGGCTCCCTCCCACCAGCCGGCCTTTACCGCTATTGCCTCACTGCTATCGATCGTTACACTCGTCGGCCCGAGGTGTGCCCGTTCGAAAAGATCACCGCAGAAGACGTCGCATCAGCCTTCTTCTCCGGCTGGGTTTCACGCTTCGGCACTCCTCGTTGAGTCACAACCGATCAAGGAAGGCCATTCGAATCTCACCTTTTCAGGCTTCTCGGACTCCACCGGGTTCGAGCGTTCACGGACAACTAGCTACCACCCTTGCGCCAACGGGATGATTAAATGGTTTCACCGGCAGTTCAAGGCAGCTATCATGTGCCACCCTCACTCAACCTGGCTCGAAGCTCTCCCCGCTGTCGCTTTTGGTCTGCGTGCAACTTTGAAGCCAGACATTCAAGCCACGCCTGCGAAATTCGTCTACGAGGAGTCGCTTCGCCTACCTGGAGAACTCCTCTTCGCTCCGACCTCTGATGTAACCAGCTTGGATCCTGCAGACTTCAACACTCGAGTCCGTCGCACAATGGGTGCGCTGCATTCCTCACCAGCGGCTCGCCACACCAAGCTGACCTTATTCGTGTTTAAGGACCTGGCAACATGCTCGCATGCCTTCCTCCGTGGCGACACCGTACGCGCACCTTTCCAGCCGCCTTACTCCGCACCTTACAAAGTCATCTGTCGCAACGACAAAACATTCACCCTACAAATCAGTGGAAAGGATGTACGCGTTTCCATTGACCGCCTAAAGCCATCATACATCCTTTCCCAGGAGCCTACCAACCCCCGCACGCCTTCCGTAATTCACCGACAAAAGCCCGCAACGCCTAGGCTCGCACCCTACACTACCCGCCTTGGACGCCAGGTGCGGGCCCCCAAACCTCTTCAACCCTGACGGTTCCTATCTGCGTGGGAGGGGGGGGGGGTGCAGCGGCGAAACGGTTCAGGCGCCGCTTCTATGCCTGCGTGTCGCGGCTATGCCTCCAAACACGGGCGCCGACGATAAGAACACTCTCGCCCAAAAGAAGCAAGAAAACTGTGTGTGTGCACCGATTGAGGGGCAGTTGTAGTAGAACCTTCAGTGCGGGAACATTAAAGTTATGTTATCCCACAGATGTACGGAGTTTTGTCGGCCTCTGTTCTTATTTCCGGCGTTTAGTCCACAACTTCACCAACATTGCCCATCCCTTGACATAGCTACTGAAGAAGGACACGCCGTTTTTTTGGGGTCCCAAGCAAGCCAATTCCTTTCCCCGACTTGCTGCGTTGCTCAATTCCCCGCACATCTTGGGTTATTTCGATTCTCTAGTGCCCACTGAAGCTCGTACCGACACCAGTGGACATGGTATTGGCGCTGTCCTCGCCAATTGGCAACAGGATCAAAACCGTGTAATCGCCTATGCAAGTCGCCTCTTCTCCCCATTTGAGTGCAAGTTTTCCATCACTGAGCGCGAGGGCCTCGCTCTTATATGGGCAATTGGAATATTCCGATCATACTTGTTCTGCCGCCACTTTTTAGTCATCACGGATCACCACGTCCTGTGCTGGTTGTCCTCGCTCAAAGATACTTCTGGGCGCCTGGGTCACTTGGCCTTAAGGCTATAGGAATATAGCTTTGATGTAACCTACAGGTCTGGGCGAATGCACCAGGATGTCGACTGTCTATCTCCCCATTCTGTCGATCCCCATGACCTGTCAGGGCACGATTCTGATGCCTGTGTCTTTGCCATTGCTGATTTCCTGCATGTCTGATATTTGGAGAAGCAGCTTTCTTGGTCTGGTGACGCAGCTTGAGAACTGCAGGCGCAGCTAAGCATATCTCGCTAATAACGATAAAACGTGCCTGATGCTTTATCCTCAGAGTAAAGCAAAGCAAATTGATGGCTGATTTTACCATTCATTTATTGCTGTCAGCGCAGTGGGCGTGTAGCAAGAGCAGGTTCAGATCGAAGCGGGCGGTTGCTTCTGCATGGACGCTGCTACGTTGATTTGTAACCACAGTTACCGGCCCTAAGCGACTCAGATAATTAAATGCGCATGAAGTAAATGAGAAAAATAAACATATTACATATCGATATTGCCTAAGATACACTAAACAAACGCCAATTTTCGCCAACCTTGCCAATTGTGGTCTTGCTGCGCAAGCATGTGGCTTTCTTAGTGCCTGTAGCTTTGGTAATGCTGAACCACAGGGATGAAACAGAGTATAAGTAGACATAATATATTATAGCTTCATTTGAGCTGCTACCTATCTTGAAGTGCAGTTCTCTTCCAAGGTTGTAGTACATTACTTTCATTTTACCTACCTTTCTACTCTCCTTGTCTAATTCAGCAATCATTATTTGTTATTCATCCCAAATTTTGTCAATTGAGTAGCTTTAAATAGCCGTAGAGTCGCTTGACGCTCGTTCGGTGTCGTCCGTAGGCCAGCGAACTCACTCTTGAGTCCACTCACTCGAACTCGCTCAGACTCAGAGATAAAGCTGCTAGTTTGAGTGAGTCCGGGTGAGTAACGTTTTCGTA